CCGCGTGCACGTACACTAGTCCATCAGTGCTGTTTTACTCACAGGGTCATTCATCTTTGGAACAGCCTCTCTGAAGAAGTAATTAATGCCCCCACAAGATCCGCTTTCGAAAGGAATTTAGATCTGCATCTTGATCTAATCCCTGAAAGGTAAACATCTCCCTGCCTCATAGCGTTATTCATAACATGTTCAGTGTTTTTTCCTGTACTTCCCGATTTATTGCACTGCATGCAGATACTGCACCCCTCTCCCCTCCTCTTACCTCATTTCAGGTGACCTTCTTATACCAACAGGACGTGGACTCACTCTAACTACCTAACATCCGCCCCAGAAGAAACCTTGGAAACTACTAAGATCCGGGACCATTGGGCCTAGTCTCGCACCCGTGTAATACTTCAAGACTTCAAGAGACCAGGTCCCAACTGCAGGAGCCGTCAAAATAGCGAGTTATCCTGCCAACCGATTAAGGAAGGAAGAATGAGAAAAAGACGGAAAAAGAAAGGAAGGTAAAAGAACGAAAGAAAGAAAACAAAAGAAGTAAAACCAAAAGAGAAATGAAACGTACAAGTGGTTCGGCAGAGGATTACTCTCTCGGTTAATCACTCGTAGTCAAAGATCGAAGTCAGATAAGGGCACAGGGGTACTGCCTCCCTAACTGCAAACAGCATACATGCACCAGGTCACCCCTCACACAGCGTATTTATCTATCCTGGTCGGAGCGGCTGCGCCAATATCTTACGACTTGCTAATCTCCCAGGGCATGTTCATATCAAGCGAATCCTGCACCTGGGGAAATGGAGGGAGACCTCTCACGTTGTCAGCGAAGGTAATCCAAGACCAACACTGGTATAGTTCCAAAACCTTAGACACCGGGATGCCATGTTAGCAGCAGCAAGCCACGTGCAGCTCTTGACCAAAGGCAGAATCACCGTAGTCCCTGATTATGCGAATAGCTGGAAGAGTGTAGCTATTGTGCCATCAACCTCACCAGGCAGCGCCAGGCGACTGATCGTAAGCGTGCAACCTTCCACTCCAAAGGTTTCACCAAGCCCTAATGCCCGCACAGCCGGACTCCTCACGAACGAATCGGCATTTTTGTCAAACCATTCCGACACCGAAACAGCAACGCCGAAAGTGGTGCCTGCTATTGCCGTAACCCCAATCTGCGAGAGTCCACATAGGAAGAACTCTACAACCGAGACAAAATACTTGGTGGACATCCGGGCCTAAGCCCTGTGTGTAGTCTTTTACCGCTAAGGGAACACACTGTGCAGACATTGGATGTTCTCTACACCAATGCCTGCAGTGGTCCGACATACTAGCAGAAGCAGGGACGGCCACTTGCATAGCAGTCACCGAAACGTTGCTGAAACCAGACTTCAAAACCACAATTTTACACCCACCAGGATTCATGGCCTATCGGTGTGATTGCACTGATGGTCGCATCGGATGTAGTTCTCTAGTACTCGTAGCGGAACACCTAACACAAACAGCCGTAATCAACCTGGAGACAGCAAATTTCCAATCCACCGGGTGCTTGCTAAAACAACCCCAAAGAGAAGTAGCAATAATTTGCACATACCGTAGTCCTCGGTCCTCCACAGAGGAGGAAGAGTAGTTAATCGCCCACCGCAGGCAAGTAGCGGGACAAGCCAGCAGGATTCTGCTTTTGGGTGACCTAAATGCTCCTGAGGTCGACTGGCAGACGAAAAACGCACCACCCGGCAGTTTAGGAGAGAAATTGCTTGACTTAGTGCTCAACTCAGTCCTGATTCAGCACATCAAACATCCAACAAGATGAAAACCAGGTAACCCACCCAATATCCTGGACCTAGTATTCACTAAGGGCGTTAAAGAAAGACAGGCAAATCACAAAACCGTTTATTGAAGGAAATGAAAGTGAATATATATGTACACAAGAAAAGATCATTGGCTACCTTAGTTTCCTCCAATTATATTGCATCACATCTTGCGTCATATTGCTCTTCTCTGCATTGTATGTGATCGGCTGGAACAGTCCACCAATGACGTGTGTCTGGAGGCTGTGCACGTGCTACTGGCATCAGCGCTCAAGGTCGATTGACTACCAATGTCCGGAAACTGTATCGCGCTGCTCCAGAGCAGGCGTGATCTCGTAGATCCGAATCACCACAGAACTTACAACTAGGATCATCGCTAGGCAGGATTGATCACTTAAATATTCGCTTCCGTTATGTCTGTCGTCTACGAGCCCTGAGGCTAGAACCCAGATGCTGCTACAGAGCATTAGACACGAGGGTCTCCTCTTGGCCGCGTCACAACTCCAATGGCCGGAGGATGCGACAGATGTCCATAAGACTTGGGACCGAATTAAAACGAAAATCATCTCGTTGGCCGACGCCTTTGCATCATTGCTTCCCCATGGAAGACTCAATAGGCCATGGTGGTGGTCTCGATGGTTAGCTAAATTACTGAGTAGAAAGCGGGCCGCCTGGAAGAGGTTCTTAGCCACCAACGGCCACTCGAGATACCTTCAGTACTTGAAGGAGCGCAATACCTACGACAGGGCGCAGTCAGATTCAAAGAAACGCTATGAGCTCACACTGGAACAGAAGAGTAAGACGTGCCCGAAAGCATATTACGGTTATGTGCAGTCGAAGGCAGCCACTGGGGAAGCTATAGGATGTATCCGTGACGCCGGTGGCAACCCAACGATCACTAGCTTGGAAAAGGCTTCCGCTCTACAACAACATTATGAAGAGTCGTTCACTGGAGATCTGGACAATGCCCTGCCGGCTCACAGTATCACGACGGAGTGTCCTATGGATAAACGCCTAATCGAGCCGCTAGAAGTGGAAAAAATATCAAAGCGTAAGACAAAACCCAATCTGCAGGTCCAGATGACATACATCTGGCGATTCTAAAACCCCTGAAGAGTATTTTAGCACGTCCATTAGCCAGCCTATTTACCAAGTCACTGGAGACAGCAACCCTCCCAAGTGACGGGAAAGCGGCCATAGTCACCCTTATCTATAAAGGGGAGACAGAGATGCCGCCTCAAACTATAGGCCAGTGAGCTTGCTTCCAGTAATACTAAAGGTTATGAAGAGGGTGATTTGTGACAAAATGACTGGTCATTTTACAGCGAACAACCTACTGACGGAAGCTCAGCGTGGATTCAGACGGGGTAGGTCCTGCCTGATAAATCTGTTAGCCTACCTGGAGGCAGTGACCGACAGACTTGACAGGGGTGAACGTGTTGAAGTATGCTCCCTAGAATTTAAAAAGGCCTTCGACTCGGTCAGTTACGGACTACTCCTGATGAAATTGTCACAGTTGGGAGTGCACCTTGAACTCTAAAATTAGCTTCGGAGTTATTTAGTAGGTCACACCTTACAAGTCCCGGGGGAACGGTTAACTTTCTGAGGTAGGCCAAGTGCACAGCGGAGTACCTCAGGGCTCCGTCCTTGGACCGTTGTTGTTCTTGGTCTTCATCAACGACCTGGCACGGTGTAGCAAACCCACTTTTCTTATCTGACGATGATGCCAAAATTTTAGCTTCTTCCGACAATAAAGAGATGCAAAGGGACCTAAACAGAGTACAAGCATGGATCACAGAATGGAGCCTGCCTCTGAACAGTAGCAAGTGCAAACTTCTGCGCACGGGAGAGTCGGTGGGTAATCCTCATTACCTGGAGGAATCTACGAGCGAAGAAATCAAGCTAAGCACCGAGGTGAGGGTTCTTGGGATCACCGTAAATTCCACGTTCTCATCCGCACGCCAGTGCTGCCTAGCTGCTTGCAGAACAAATGCAGCACTGTACAGGCTGCGCAGAACGGTATCCTCTAGAGACCCCTAGGTCCTCGTCCCTTTGTACCAAGCTTTTGAAGGGCCCCACTTAGAGTACTGTGTCCAAGCGTGGGCACCAGTGTTAGTGCGGGACAAACTGGTCCTGAAGGTGCAACGCCGTTTTACACGGATTTTCCCTCTCCCAAGGAGACTAACATACACTGAAAGGCTGCGAGCACTGGGTCTGTTCTCCATGGAGCGTCGTAGGCTTATAGGTGATCTAATTGAAACCTTCAGAATCCTCGAGGGTTATTCGCAAGGCACGAGACATCTCTTTGAGCTAGATGAGGACCAGACAAGGCGTGGTCACAGCCTCAAACTGAAGAAACCAAGGGCATACAAAATGATAAGAGCCAGCTTCTTCTCGCTGCGTATCATCAACAGCTGGAACAAGCTGACAAACGAGATAGTCAACTATGGCAGCGTGCACGCCCTGAAGAGGATGCTCAATGAATCTTGGGATACACTGTTTCCCGAATGTCCCTAGAGTACACCACTAAATGAGTCACGCTGGCAGACATGCATGCATCCCCGTTGCAACTTATCTTTACCCCTCATTTATTCTCATTTCCAAGGTGTCCATTCCCCTTCTAAGTCCCAAATTCTTAGGGCAAGTAACCTGCCATTCTCACAGTCCCTTTTTTTATGGATCACCTGAGCGAGAGGGATGTAAGCCGTCGCATTGTCCCTGAAACTAACTCTGATATCATTCGGTTACCCATGGATCCGTCAGAATTGTAATCCTTTTGCAGGTCTAACCTTGGAAACATTTGTAAAGCAAAGACTGACGAAGCACCATGTTGCCCACATTGAGCTCACTTGGTGTAAGAAACTGGATTCCATCTGGCTCTGCCCCAAGTCCTGTGTCTTATCCTGCCCTGTCCTATCCATGCAATCCTAGGGCAACCTGTCGGTCTAGTGCCAAGTAAGCTGCGGATGTGGCTCTGGAAAGGTGATGGTGGAGATCCACCCCATTCCGCCTATCTACCCAACGCACAGCTTTTATTTACTCTTTCACCCCGACTGCTGGAAGAATGATTGCATGACTTGGTTACGTGTCCTGGCTGTCTAGAACGGTTTTGCAACGGTGGGCGCCATTGGAACATTGTGATGCGTGTGGTGGCAACAGCCTTTTTGAACCCCATTTATGTGGTCTTGACCATTGGTTGCGTACAAGCGGAAAAAAGAACAGTTGAACAGTAGCATTTTTAAATGTCTCTTGTTTAAGACACAATCAGATACCAAGTAACAGACAAGTACTCCGAGGACCTCCGTCCATCACTGAGCAATCAACCTACCACCAGAACCCGGGCTACTCGAAAACTTCAGTTCCCAAGCCCGTCAATCCCCGTGAATCCCCGTGAATCTGGCTCAGCCGCAAGTCCTATGACCTGTGGTACCATCAAAAGTGCTCACTTTTAGCAAAAAGATAGTACCTCATACACATTCAGAACAAGAATCTGAAGTGGGTATGTGACCGATGCGAGACATTCGCGCTCGAGTGCTCTCGCCTGGTACGGGGTACGGTTGCTGCTGAGGGGTTAACCCCTAAGATGCAGATGAAGAGCACAAATGCGTCGAAAAAGAACAAGGGTAAACAGAGGATTAGTGTTAAACCGACAGAGTCGGTAGAAATTAGGCTGAAGACGAAAGGGGAACAGAATGCTAAAAAGGAAGATACAGCACCTGGGGAGATTGCAGCCCTAATTTCTCGAATGGAAGTTCTAGAAAGAGAACTATCCATGGTGAAAAATTCAAGTCAATTGATGTTAGGTAAGACGCGGAACCTGGTCTTCCATAATTTGAGGGAGCCATATATTCGTGAAAGTAGGGCGAGAAAGGAATCTGAAAGGCGCAGCCTCCACGACATATTCAGGATGATTGGGATGCCAATAAGCACTCCAATTGTCAAGTGCCACCGCATTGGAGTATGGAAAGGCGTTAAAGTAGTTGAACCAAGGCCGCTGTTAGTAACCTTTCCCAGTATGTACTTGAGAGACGCCGTGCTATCAAGTGCCACGAAGGTGGACCTCGTCACCGGCAGTCGTGTGAAAGTCACATCTGACTCTGGCACCAAAAGCACCCAGGGTTATACTGGTCTTGGGCCCACAAATGTATCGATTGGCTGGGGGTAAAAGAACTTTGGTGCTATTGGTCGTGCCCGCTACTGGGCCGACTATACAAATACAACGAGTAGATGGGGCTCCGCTAGGTAGCTCTACGCCCAAAATTGCAAAAGTGCCAGAGGTTAGCCAACTGAGAGGCGCCACTATTAGTCATGAGCCAAAAAAGGGTTATCAGTGTTCAAATGAAACGAAGCCCGTTAAAACGAGGATAAATGATGCGCAGAGACGCCTTCATTTGAAAGAAAAGAGCAATATCACGCGTGAGGCTCCGATAAGAAATGCTCAGATAAAATTCGCTCCGATTATCGCACCCGCCTTGGTGAATATAACCATTCTAAGCATTCAAAGCCCTAGGTCGGACAGTTGAGCATCTGTTGTTGCAAATATGTCGAAAACAAGGCTGAAGCTATCAGTGCAAGATGCACTAATAAAAGGTCAGTCGCCGTCTCCCTCGGAAGATGGAATGAAGTACGATTTCAGCGTTGAAGACATCAGAATTAGGAATGGTAGCACTAAATGGGATGCGAGGGTGACTCCGAAATCACCCTCCATTAAAGCAAAAAACCTAACTCTCCCTCGGGTCTTACGCCCGAGGGTACCCAAACAAGAAACGACCCGAGCGAAATAAAGCTCAGGTCCCCTGATGTGGCTGTCTGGCATACAAATGCCTGCAACCGCCGGGGCAAATCGGGGGGAGCTAAAGACCAGGACAGTAGAAGCCGATGTCATTGCTGTCACTGAGACTTGCCTCAAGAGTGAAGATATGGTCCTGGGTCTGCAGGAGTTTACCGAATACAGACAGGATAGAGTAGACGGGAGGCAAGGGGGCGGAGTCCTCTTAGTTATGCGGACTACCTGTCACCAATGGGAGTGGCCACTGCAGTTGGCTACTCCCCATATTCAGGTTACTGCTTGCCACTTAAGGGTTGGATCGGGACCTATAAGCATTTTCTGCGTTTATAGGACACCCAACTCAACGGCGACTGAGGATAATGAACTGATGCGTACCCTACAAGAGGTGCTTCGAAGGGCCCATAGGTTTCTCATTGTGGGAGATCTAAACCTTCCTGAAATAGCTTGGGAAGAAGAACGAGCTCCTAGGGG